GCCGCCCCCGGGGCCCTCAGCAGCAGCGGGGCAATGGGGACCCCGAAGGACTGGCCCGGGCCACTTCCGGGAAAGACGGGCTTCCAGCTAAGCACCGGCAACAGGGCTGGGCGTACCGAGAGGAACAACCTGAACCCGGAAGCACTTCCCCAGTGTGTGGGCGGGACTGAGGTCAGGACAGACGTGGCTTTAAACCGGTACAAATATTTCCGGTTGCGATGTAGACGTGGAGGGAGAAGGCTGAAAAGACCCTGACGGAAATAGAAATGCCCCTACCGGAAGTCTTTTCCTCAACATCCATAACTTTATTGTTACGTGTTGCTCACGACAGTTGTACTAAGTTACTCTGCCGGCAGGGGCTTTCTGTGAGCTCCTGGATGTACTACTGCCTCCGCTCACAGCTGGGTAGTCTGGGTGAAGTGTGTGTACTGTGATTGCCTTGCTGACCTGTTGATAGTTTCGGCTGGAACAAAACCACGAATACAAACATTTCCAACATCCAGTAACTCCGCTGTTAGAAAACTAATTTATGAAAACATAAACATTCAAAGATTTGTGTGCATCGGATATCATTACTACTACTATCAAATAATCGGAAAAAATCAAAATGTCCAACACTGAAGAATTCGATCAATAATTCATGGCACAGACATGTAATTGGAATATTATTCTGCCATTTAAATCATGTTGTAGAAGGCTTGGGGCAAGAGGGACGGGGGCGGGGGGTAAGCTGGAGGGGGCCAGTGAGGAAAAAGGGACATATGCAATACTTTCAGGAATAAAGAATTATTTTTTTAAATCATGTTGTAGACTTGAACAACAAAAATACAATAGTATTGGATCATAATTTATAATAATATAAATACTCGTGAGTCCATACTAATATAAATGATTGAATTAGTAAATTGGGGAGAAGAGACAAACCACCTTAGAAAAATTCCAAAACAGTAACTATGGAAAGAATGAAGAAAACAGCAACAATTGTAGCAGGCAATATGTAAGAATGGATGCTAAAATTAGTGGGTGAGAGTGTGAGGAGAAACAGAAATTTGCATTGGACAAATGATCTCCCCAAGATATGTATTAATAGCAAGGGGAGCTATTAGCTTTACAGTGGAAACATCTGGCAGACATCACCTTAACCAGGTAATCAAAGTATACAGCATCATTGTAAAACTCCTAACATGACAGATCGAGGACACAATATCGCTTCGGTGATATTCTTGCCAAAAATG